GAGCGAGAGAGAGAGAGAGAGAGAGAGAGAGAGAGAGAGAGAGAGAGAGAGAGAGAGAGAGAGAGAGAGAGAGAGAGAGAGAGAGAGAGAGGTGCTTGCTTGGAAGAGTTGAGTCCAGCCAGAGCTGCCACCATACACAAGTGGGAATGGCTTCATTCTTCTTTGATTTTCCTATAAGAAATTTGAACTCTCATGTGGTTTCCATCCAGTGTGGTATGTGTCTCAGCGTGGGGTGGTGAATTTGAGAGTCTGCCTATGGTAACACCTTGGTGTAAACTGGGCAAGGTAATTGCAGTAGGCTTGGTGTGATGCTATGACCTCATCTCCATAACGTAAGTACTGGTTAAAAAAAAAAAAAAAAAAAAGGTTAGTCGCACAGAGAGAGAGAGAGAGAGAGAGAGAGAGAGAGAGAGAGAGAGGTTAGTTGTACTAGTTTTAACAGGAGTGTGCTAATCTTCTCCCAAAGCTCCCGAAGAGGCTGCCTGCCGGAACGGCCAAAATGCATGATGCGGCTCCAGCACGTGAACACCATCATCGACCTGCGTGACAGAAAGGAGTCATCTGTTATGCGAGACAGCATGCATGGAACACGCAATACGTAGGCAGGTGGGGAGGTGTATCAATGCATCTCCTATCACATCAATCACTTCCCGCAGTCCTCTGTAGGCAGGTAGCCGCTTTTGAGAGAACTCTTCCTCACGCATAAACTCCTCAGACTTCACCCAGAGAAGGTCCCCATTGACAGATCTAGAGGGTCGCCTGTGCTTATTGGCTTGTTCTAGCATCTTCCACTGGGTGTGCCCGAGCCATCTTTTCGAGGTCCTCATAGGCACTCACAGGTTCCCAGCGTAACACCTGCTGAATCTGATCAGGATTCAGACAGTCAATCACTCCGCTTGGTTTCCAGCCCTTGTGTTGCTCATTTGGTGACCTTAGGCAAGTGCTCATCCCAATCTATCTGATCTAGTCAAATATACATACGAGAGTCAACTGTAACAGCTTGCTCATTTGTTCTGGTTGTCCATTAATCTCAAGGTACCACCGTAACCCCTAGTTAGCTTCGACCCATGAACTTTCATCGGGTGTTGACAGTGCCCCGTCGTACATCTAACGCCTCTACCACTAACTATCACTATCACCATGGGTTGAACCGTGATCGTTATCTTTAACCCAATGACTGAAAAATTCACTGATAACTAAGTCGGTTTTTGCATCGGATGGCAAACCTGTCTACAATGACCATCCCTTCACTTGTCCACTTCTACTCCTAACCTTCATGTCCATTAAGTCAATAGTTAAACCACCAGTACTTGGCCCAGCTATCGGCCGCGGAAAAAAATAGAGTAGAAACGTTTCTAGTCGGATGAATTTGGGCGCTCCTGAAGTAGCCCGTACGTTTCCTAAAATCGTGGTGCGTTAACGGGCACGACTGTAGGAAGTACTGGTGGTTTAAGGAATCTCCGCCACCTCGGCCCACCTGAGGGTATAGGCACTGGTTTCAGAAATCCCCCTTTTTTTTGTTTTTTAATAACAAGTCGAGATTGTAGTAGAGGCTGGATGCTAGGCCTTGGGGGGTGCCTGTCGCTGTACTCAACCAGTGGGGAGATCAGACGGCTTGTGACAGCCCCAAGGACAGTCTCCTCCAGGGCGCATCATTCGTGAACTCTTTTTTTAGTTATCCTAATTAGATCGCATGTCGAGCCCTAGAGCGGTGCGAACCAGACCTGTCTCTAGACCTAGATTTACACCAACCCACGCTTTCAGAGGGTCTCAGATGAGTGTTCCCCTCGGGTGCTACCATAGGGACACCCCAAATTCTCGAGGATGACCCGGGCACAAGAGGGGTCACGGATATGTGGTCATTCCCCACCTGTATCACACATCTAGCAGACTCTATGGGCGTTCACCACCCTTCTACTATCAATGTGACGACCCACCGTCCCCTGCCTAAGATGAGACCCTTACCCAGAGACCCCTCCCCAGATTCACGCCCCTGTTGACCCCCTCAATGGGAACACACACAGGCACCAGCCCGCAGGCATCGTAAGATAGACACGAGGCCCGCCCTTGGGAATCGTATATGCCTAACCCCCAACCCTTACTACTTCTCAAGGGGGGTGTAGAAAGCGGCGCCAGACTGGAACCAGGATCGTACAATGTAAATATGGACTCTCGCAGGTGTACCATGAGGCCGGGAAGCTACCACAGTACCAGCCCACAGGCATCGTAAGATAGACATGAGGCTTGCCCTTGGGAATCGTATATTCCTAACACCCAACTTTTACTACTACTCAAGGGGGGTGTAGAGAGTGGAGCACAACCAGAACCAGGATCGTACAATGTAAGTATGGACTCTCGCAGGTGTACCATGAGGCCGGGAAACTACCACAATATGCAGACACACCCACAGAGCAGTGCATATGAACGAGGCGGTGCACAAACAGGCCCACAATTTCTACACAAATTCCTACCTAACCTAATCTAGACCTAAGACCTCTACCCAACCTACCTCCTCTACCCTGCCCATGGTGAGTACATGAGACATGACCCAGAGATCATTGGACCACACTACGGACAACCCACACCCCCACACCCCCCCCACACACGCACACTCGTCCGACCACCCTAAGGCTAACCACGCAAACAGCCCGCCCCCAAGGCCCTGCTACTAACATACGACAACCATGGATTAACCCCCCTGGGTGGTGCAAACGCAGTGTCTGTAATAATGACCTTGCATCAGCCTAAGGGGGGTGTGAATGGCTTGTGCGCTAT